AACAGGCAGCGTGGAGGGTTAAGAGACTTGGGGGTAGGGGAGAAAGTGGGGGGGAGGGGGGGAAGAAAGTGGGGGGGGGGAGTGGAATGGGAAAGAAAACATGGTGGACTGGGTAGGAATGGGGAAAACGCCAGGTGGAGAGTCCCAACCACGTGAGCTGGACGGTAGAGCGACGGTCTTGCTTCTTGAAGCTCGGCGTTCATTTCCCGACCGTCCAAGTGTTGGGCACCGTTCCTTCCTTCCCCCGTCCCATCCCCAAATCCTTATCCTGACCCGTTCCCAGTGCTATATAGTCTTAATGGCTTTGCGCTTTCCCCTGAAAACTCCCTCCCCTCCAGGTGGAAAATCAGGAGGGAGACCTTTCGAGACAGGACGCAAAGGAATAGGGGAAGAGGTGGAGGTTGTGCTCGGGTCTAAGGCCTGGAAACTGTTGTGAGACCAAGGAAGGTGGAAACCCTGGAAACACAAACCGAAACTGTCTATTTTCCGCTTGTTACAACTTGTAATAAAGTTGTTACATCTTGGCTTAACGTGTTTATGACGTATTAGAACGTTGTTACAACTTGCTATATTGGTTGTTATAACTTGTTAGGAGGGGTTAAAACTTGTTCGAACGTTGTACCAACGTCGTAGTTTCGGTGTGTTTGGCGGGAAGGATGAGGAGAGGTTGAACGCAACACACGAGCGCAGGATACACCCGCGAAAGGGGCGAGACGACTAACATGGCATATCACTTCAGGAAAAGTCAGACGATCACGGTGTTTCAAGTTGAGGACGGTTTCCTCGAGTTTGTAGTGTATACACGAGCGTGAGAAGGAAGGGTGGCCCTCACCGGCAGCAAGCCTGGGGAGAAGTGCACTTTGACTTGGAATGATCATCGTCCCCACACATGGGGGCGCAGATAAACAGTACTTGTGCATTTGAGGACACCGTGCTCGAACTTCCAACACTTATTGCAAAGTCTAGGAGAGGGAATGTACTCCTGAACGGAGCATCTGGCACCGGCAAGAATAATCCGTGGTGTAGTGGTAAGACACTCGCCTGGCGTTCCGCGAGCGCTATGTCATGGGTTCGTATCTTGGCCGGGGAGGATTTACTGGGCGCAATTCCTTAACTGTAGCCTCTGTTTAACGCAACAGTAAAATGTGTACTTGGATGAAAAAACGATTCTTCGCGGCAGGGGATCGTATTCCAGGGACCGTAGGATTAAGGACTTGCCCGAAACGCTACGCGTACTAGTGGCTGTACAAGAATGTAACAACTCTGGTATATATCTCAAAATAAAAAAAAAAAATAATAGAGGGCGGAAGGGCCCTACTATCGAAGGTGATAGTTACAACTCGAAGAGGCTGACGGCGACCACCAAGAGGGGATCGATTAAACGTGTCCACCTGGAGTACAGAACGGCCTTGGGCTTCGAGGATATGTTCAATATCCTCATGGCAGTCTTCGAGGTCCCTATCACCAGTTGCAGCATGGTGTGAGGGAAACAGTACCAACACTGGCATTTAACCCAGCGTTTTTGGAGACCCTAACAGGGGTCTCCCCAATGCAGGACAAAGCGGCTAAGCGAGTAGCTGCATTCTAATGAGGAGCAGCAACGACACGCGTGCCATAATTGGTGGAGTTAAAAGTAACAGAGGCATCTACTGAATCAACAAGGTGTTTATGGAGGGAGAAATCGTCAGGGGGAGTAGAATCCAGATGGTGGAGATCAAAGTATTTACCCCACGTAGCGGGACCAAACAAGGCGTTGCAAGTATTAGTATGGGAGGAGATCGTGCGAGTGCGGCCGTGGCGGGGACGACGTTGAGAACCCCCAGAGTGAGAGGGGATAATAGGCGCAGTAGTCACAATGAGAGATGGAACTGCTAGAGGACGAGGGTCACCACTGGGGGCTGGGAACTCGACCCTACCGCAGAGGGAGGGTAGCAGAGGGGGAGTAGTCAGGAGGGTCAAAGGAGGAGCAAGATCGGGGGCCCGATGCAGCAGGGGCTACAGAGCCTTGTCTTGCAACACAGTCCGACTCGGGGGCTTGGTCACCCACCCCACGAGCCTGAGAAGGTACAAGGGAAACGTTATCTGCTATAAAAACTAAGAAACTTTAATTCACGAATGTTCCCCCATACTCACCATGGAGCCACAATTAGAGGCAGGACACCCAACAAGAAGCTATCGCCGATCATGCCGGGGCATCCCCAGGGGTGCGTCTTTAGTATCCCCCCCCCCACACACACACACACACACACAAACACCACCTTAAGAACATTCAGTTTGTCGAGAGCGGCTTCCGTGACGAGAGGAGGATTAACAAAAAAAAAAAAAAAAAAAAGGGTCCCCTCGTTCGAGACGTTGGGTACTACAGTTCTACGGGTGCAAGACTATGCCTCCCCAAACACCCGGACGTCAAAATAAAAGAAGGCCGAAAGAAGAATCAAAACGGGTAAAAGGTCGGCGGGGAATGACAATGAGAAAAGAGAAGAGGGAGAAAAACGAAACAGAAGGAAAAGGAAAAGGCGTCCAGCAAAATCTGTGAGGACAGCAGCAGGAGCACAAAGCTACAAAAGGACAGGGGTTCATCCCAAGGAGCATCACACTCCGTCAGCCGCCCACCAAGCCCCTCCACGGCAGCAACGAGCTGGACAAGGAGGGTGAAATTTATAATAGATTTATTAGATTATGTTAATTCTGATTGTGAGATTCAGAGCATGCGCAGATGCAAACTAGCGATTTCGCTTTAAAAATTGTATTCCTCAATTTACTATAAATTATAGATGTGGACCTCTCGCAAGGTGGACATGATCAGCCATTTGACCCTCCAGGTGACCTTCCATTGCAGGAAAATACTTTGAGTCTGCACTAATTGATCAGTTGTGAATTTGTTGGTCGCCCCGAGTAATCTTCTAATTTGCAGTCTATTTAAATAAATATTTCAGTTAATTTCGTATTAGTTTATAAATTCACTATGTCTATAGAATTCATTTTACTGGAAATTAAGGGAACAAGGAGGTAAATTTTTCCAGTGCTCTAAAAACTTTTGAAACTCCTGCAATGTATACCTGATCAGCCAGGTTGCAAGCAGCCTCATCAAACAGCCTGGTTGACCCCAGACCAACAACCAGGAGGCCTGGTCAGACACCGGGCCACAGGGCCGTTAATCCTCAATCATCGACAGGTAATCGGGGGGGGGGGGGCCACAAGGGAGCCTGCGAGTCTAAGCAACTAGCAACACGGGGCAAACCATCCACCAGCAATACTTTCAAGTTACAGCAGACTCTTAGAGGCAGCGATCAGTTTTACTACGCATTCAGAGTATCATTTTTATTGGGATTGTGTACAGTATGGTAGGTTAGGTGTTCAGGCTTTTATTCAAACTTATTTTTAGTCTATACTCAGAAAGGCACTAATAGTTGTATGCTTCGATTAATTGGAGAAGATATCGTTTGAGCAGCGTTCAAACTAAATTCAATTTTAGCTTTTTCTCCCATTTATCACACTGGCGTTGTTAAAGGTCAAATGCTTCTTAATCCAGCAGCCGAACAATTTATGAATAGGTGTTTGCTCATGACTCATGACATTCTAGCATCTCAAAATGTTCATCACTGAATCGCTGTTCAAATCTACTCCATAAATGATTCGCTGGTGTACGTCAAAAGGCAAGTAATTTGCCAAAAAAAAAATAAAACATATTTGCCTACCTATACAAAGGATTAGTTATGTATATAACTATAGGTCGTAGCCTAAACTAATAATTTATATACGAAAAAAATAACACTATGCTAAATGTTTATGAAGTTCTTCGGGGTCGGCAGCCATTAAGCTTTAGCAAGGGTATGGAAGCTGGATTAACCATAATTTAAACTATCAATTATAATTGTATGATTAGCTCTAGCAAACCCTTGCTCGAACTACCGAGCAAAACAAAGGAAACGTTGGATGTGCTCAATAGGAAAAAGGAAACGGTGGGAAAGGACCACCTCCAGCAGGTGGTAGTACAACACCGTCCAAATATTGTTCTCCGGGATGGTCAAGGTGAAGGTATGGCAACCATTAAGGTGCTCAAGGTCGACGGAAGGCAAAGGCTTTACCACATTATCCAGAGATGGTCCAGCAGCCACAGCAAGTCTGACCACAAGAGAGGTGTTCCTGGTGTCCAAGATGAGCCATACGTGACAAATAGCATTCAATCTAAAATTCAGCTAGTTTAGAAAACCTATTTGTGCCACTAGTAACTAAAAAAAAAAAAATCACAAGCAAGCATACCAATCTAGTTAAGGTACATATCTTGCCGTTTGGTACAGGAGCCTGTGTACCACAGCCACAATACCATGTTATAATTTAATTGATGTGATTCACCCACGAACGGAAAAAAATAACAACCTCATTCAAGCCTATGTAATATTCTAACTATAATATAGGCAGATGCATGTAATATTGTAAAACCATAACACCACACAGAAATCTAGCCTAGGGCAGTCCAAGTATTAAGAGGCTTTGACTACCATAGCCAAATGTTATGCCATGAAATTATCATTAGCAAATATTTCTCACCTGGGTCGTACTAATCACAGCTCCGCTGAAACCATCACAGTCGCCAATGACAAAAACCTCTGCCACAACGGCACCTGTTGCGCTTAATTAGTGGTTATAAAGGCTCCAGTTCAACAGGGTACATCAGAGTAGAGCCTAAAACATTTGAAGGGAATTGGCGTTCTTTCCTCAAGAATATTTTACTTTCATTTGTTTGGTCGATTCAGTCATGGTATGATCCCATGAAGCATTACAAGTATTCTGATGGTGGTCAGTTATCTCACCTGATTAAAGTGAGAAACAACTAAAACATCCAATCACTTGGATTATGTCTTAACATGTGTCTCTAGGGAAAGAGAAAACTGCTTGACCCGAACAAGCCAAAATGTTCACAAAATACAAAAGCTCCAGCAACTACGCTAAGTATTACAGATGACTTGCCAATTAGAATCTTAACCATTTCCACAAACCTTTCCTGAAGAAGTCTCCTTCCCTCTTCTGGGCACCTTGGTGGTAATTTGCAGCATCATTTTCACTTCGAGCTTTCATCGAGGAGAAAGAAGAGTTTTCGGCTACCTGGAGAAAGGAACCAATATTAATACCATAACAGGCTCAAACTACTTTGCCACCACCAATAACAAAAAAATTTAAATCATGATGTAATCTGAAGTGTTCCCTAGCATAAAGATGGGTGGAGGGGGGGGGGGGGGTAGGTTAAGGGAGCACAACGTTTAGCACTAGTGGCTGCTAATTCCATGTCATCCCAGTTAACTGAAGTAATTACTATAGATATACCTAGCCTGACAAAAATTTAAAATATTTTGTAAGTGGGCCGATAATCTTCCCAGTACTACAAATACAGATAATCGCCAACAGAACCTAAACACCTAACCTATGCCTATATACACATAATGCGCCATTATAATATTAATTTATATTTAAGAAAATTCCCGTTTTGAATGAACAGCATGTACAAATTTGTATGCGTGGGGTGGATCGACCGCTGGATGTAATTGACTCTAGTCGAGGACGGATTGCTTTAAACATGAATATGATTAAGAAAGTATATTCGTTAAGAAAAAGATGTTTAAAAGTTCACGCTTATTTCATTTATTCTTACAGCCTCTCTTCCCCACCATCAATCTTCCAACACCAAATTAACTTTCCTTTGTTCCATTCCTTTAGTTGAACCCGTCATGCTTTCATGTACATACTTTGATAATTACCATACTCGACATCTTCCATCATTACAATTAAGTGGCGAGCGACATTAACTAATACAAAACACGACCACAACAATTTTTCTAAAGTTTGGTGTTGCATCTCAATCTTCCACACAAACATTTCAGCGTTACTGTTCATATTTAGCGTCATTAATAATTATTAAAAGCAATTTAGTCTGCCAATAACATTTATACTACTAAACCTGATCCCAATAACAGCTTACTTCTACCCAGGAGAGAATTCGCCATGAAATTTAAATTTTAAAAAGATGCCAGATACTTTTAACATTTCGCAATACTTTAATACGAAGAATAAAGGTTAACTGCAAGTGGTCTATTAACCAAACCCCCAGTTAATTCCACCCATTTTAGTGATGTTAATACGTTGCCCAGTAGTAGATTCCAAAACATCCCCTTTCGAAACAAGTATTTACCCAGGTCAATATATAACTCAGTATATTGTCACAATATTCAAACGAAGTTTTACTATACTTTCCCCTTCCCCTTCACAAACTTCCATCACATCACTTTAATCTTTAACTAAAACTATGTAGTTATTTTAATCGCTAATATACGTTTCCAATGCCTGGTTAAATCATCCTCCTTATCTGTGCACCATCAAGTTAATATGTGCATTCCAAAATAACTGAACAGCATAATAAAATTCCTAAGATGGGCGAAATTCCCACGAATAATATCCAACACCTTGCCGCTAATTCTTCAAGAAATTAATTAACCTCTTGGTACATTTATGCATCCGTTTATTAGGAGACTCATCAAATATCACTACAGATCAATCTCATTAAAAGTTCCAATGACCAACTGCTATTTCTGTAGCAAACAATCCTCCATTTGTTTTTTCCAAGGTATAAACGCCATCTGCCAATCTTCTGCAAATTTGTTAAACTTTACCTAATCTTTTTGCCTTTGTGTTCACATTTCATGTTTGCCCTATTTGTATAGTTTGAACATTACCAAATAATGATGTATCAATGTTAAAATTTTACATTGCTATATGGAGGTCCCAGAGCATTGCGTGCCTTTGGACAACACACATTTCTCTCTTTCCCACTACATTTTATCCTCATTTATTCTATACTCCTGATTAGTTCTGAGGTTCAACTTGGGACTGCATCCCTAATACCACGAGCTACCCCTATTACCACGAGTTAACTTCGAGATGTTAAATCATTAATAGTTAGAGTATCATGACACTTACATTATCAAGCTGCTGTTGGGAGAGGTTGGTGCCCAAGAACTCATTCAGTGTTCCAAGTTCCTTCTTTATATTAGCTTTCAAGTCTTCATAAAACACAAAGTGCATATGGGGGTAGTCCTTTTTCTCCCACGCCATCATCAAGTTCGGCCAGTACGGACAGTACAACACTGTAGATACGAATTACATATAACTCAACTTTTTACATATATAAACAAGAGGTTTAGCCTTTAAGGTTTGCAACTAACAGTATCAAGCTACTTCCGAAATATAATTGTATAATATTCTATTTAGAGCTAACGGCACTTTCTTAATTATCTTAAGAACGCATTAATTTAATGCGAGAATTTGGAAGTTAAAATTTGCAACAAGACAAGGAGTTAGTGTGCAATGTTAAGGTCTGCAATATCACAAAACTACCAAGGAGAACTCTAGCTAAACTTAAGAAAATAAAGAGTTCTTTCACTCATAGCCAATACTAAACATCCTACGCTCATGGGCAAGAGCAGCCCGATCCCACTTGTCCAAACATGGAAGGTACCCACCTACAACACGGGACAACACCCGAGCCTGTACACAGAAGGTACCCACCTACAACACGACACATCACCCGGGACTCGTGGAGTCTCATCTCATCAATCACACGTCCTATTCCAATAAAGGCCACACGAGACAGCAAACGGGAAAGTTCAACATAACATCACCGTTACAACAATTGGAAGACAGAACCAGCTAAAAAAATCCAAACTAATAAGCACAAGCGGCAAATTGCATGCCAGAAGTTACACATTAATTTCACGCCTCATTTCGATATGCCACTATATTCAGGCTTCTAAACGTTACAAGGAAAAAAACCCGCCGACCAATACTGTGGCACAGAGAGGAAAAAGTATCCTTCGACTCGGGTCCTTGGAATGTGCAAAATGGAAATTCTGCACTTTTTTAATGCGTTAGATTATGAATGAATAGGCGCTTTGAAACAGTCATTGGTCAAAACACACCACACTGGTTAACATGATTCACTGCCATCGAAAGAGTGAATAGAGCATTTAAAGTTAAAAAAAAAAGTGTAAGTTAAAGAACTAACAAATTATAAAATATAATTTACCTATTGGCACTCGACAAGCGACATTACGTCGCTAACCTTTCATTCATTTTTTAATTTGGGTTGCAAAAAAATATATAAAGTACATTATATTCGCACATGACAGTATAAAGATGTAATTACATCCCAATATTCAATACCAAATATTATGTATAGTTTACCAAATAATTATAATAATAAGTTATTTAGGAAAAGTACACACATAGTTGCAGAGTTACAGTACAATATTCTGTTTGATTTAAAGATAGAGGTAGTACATACAATATCTAAAGCCACTAGTACGCATAGCGTTTCGGGCAAGATGAGCTGGGGAAAAAAAACAACTGACAAACTTAACAGTAATTGAGCTTAAAAGTATAAATTGTGTTGAAAGAAAAATTAATAAGATAAAAAAAGGGGAACATGGTAGAAAATAGCCAATATACAAGTTGGTCAACAAACGGCATTTTTTTTTTAATAATAGTAAGACATGGGTTGACATTTAGAAGTAAGGTAGGTTACATTGAGTTAATTAGGTAGTACATAGTTTTCATCTTAAACTGGTTGAGAAGGGGACAATCTTTGACATGATTGGTAAGTTCATTCCACATTCTGGGTCCCTTGATTTGTAGAACATTTCTAGTTTGATCAAGTCGTACTCTTGGAATATCAAATAGGCATTTGTTTCTGGTCTGGTGCCCATGAGTTCAGATACAAATTTAGTTGCTGTTATGGGGGGGGGGGGTATAGAGTATTAAAGAGAAGGGCCAACAGCTAGAATCAGGGTGTATCAAAATTTGTGGAGATCAGATAGGCCCGGCCCCCAATAAGAACGAACAATATTAATTTAGTGGCTTAAGGTCAATACGTCAGCCTAGAGGTTTGATCACTGATCCCCTACACAGGAAGAAAGGATATTTCTTTAAAACTAACTTATTTATTAACCCTCTTAACAACCCCCATATACATTAACAACATTATCTACTTTACCATACTATCTTACGTTAAAAGCCTTGGTCCACGTAGGCAGGATACAAGGTTCTACAATTAAGACAAGCTAGGGAAAAGTCTACTTGGCAAGAGACACTAGCAAGGACTCTAGGTAGCTTGGTACCACTAGAGCACACGTGGTTCCACCGAGACCACTTAGAGTAACTTAGCAATATAAACACTAGCGCAGCCTATACACATTACTACACACTTGTGCCAGAAAACGTACATGCTACACAGTATTTAGCTTTGTAAACTAGACACAGGATAAGGTAAGAAGAGGAGAAAGAGGAGGAGCAGGAGGCAGAGCCCCACAGGGAAGATGTTTCCACCACACAACCAGAACAGAAAAGAAAGCACCCTGGGCGTCCCGTCTCCGAGCTCCCCAGTTGTCGTTGCCGGAAGATAACCTAAGTGATCGTGCAGCTACAAACAATACAAGTCTTCATCGGCCTTCGTTACTTTACTAGTTCTAAGAATAGTTGATAATTACTTCACTGTTATAATTAATCAACAAGCTCGAGTCTGAATGCTCTGAGAAACATGATTTGTCTTACGTCTGGCAAGAAAGATAGGAACAAACGCGCATCAGCAATCGTATCAAATAATGTAAAGTAAATTATTTAGAGCTCAATTTGACCTCTGGTTTCCAACTAAGGAACACAGGGTCGTAACAAGTTCCGTTACAACCTTCTAGGAAGCGTTGAAGATCAGGATTGACATTACAAGTATGTAAGTAGGAAATAGTAACTAACAACTGACATTTAATTTGCATTCTTCCTTCATTGACTTTACGTTAATGGTTTAGTCCCACAAGGTTGTCATAGCTCCAAGAATACCTTCTACACTAGTGACCTTTCTGACCTATTACATCATAAATTACCGGCACGAACAGTTAGGTCGTCAACGTTAAAACGACACCATGGCAATGAGCCTATCTTTACCACATTACACTGGTTGAGAGAGGTCTATCTAGGCAAACTACACAAAACCCATCCCCCATACTACAATTAACGCAACTATGACTGCAGTTATACTGGTGATCCTTCACTTGTCTCCACAACCACCATTGCTTGCCTGGGACATCCTTAAAATAAAGACTACAGGAAGCTCATAGTATTAAACTTCTCCAAGCTATAACTACACACACGTGCACACAGTGGGAACCTGGTTGCCGAGTGGCCAACACGCTGGATATGTAGTCCTGTGGGCCAGGGTTGTATCCCCAGTTCAGGTAGGAACACATGGGCAGAGTTTCTTTCACCCTGACGCCCTCGTTATTAAGCAGTAAATAGGTATCGAGGAGTTAGACAGCCGTTATGGGCTGCTGGTTAGTTTGGGGGAAGGGGGTGGGGGAGCCGTTTGTTGGGTGTTAGTTGGGGGTTGCTTATGTGGAGGGAGGGGGGGGGGGAAGAGAAGAAAAATATCCGTTGATTGACATTTGAGAGGCGGGTCGAAAGAGCCAGAGCTCAATCCGCGGAAGCACAACTAGGCAACACACACCTTACCACAATGTTAATAATTCGCCTACCTACAACACTTACCCGCTTTCCTTCCAATAAGGAATAATGCCAAATACAGAACATTCCCGAGGACGATATTTAGCAGACTGGCAAGATTCTGCACCATTGGAAGTCAAACACCCAACCCATCAACACATCTTTAGTTTGACGACCGAGTACTTTCAGTAAAAAATACTATTACCACCACACTATATTCTTGGGCAACACAGTACCCAGAAAGACAACACCAACAGTACAAGACTTACCACCATTACAAATTACTATGCCCAAACACTTTATAAACCTCTCAACACTACATCTGTCGTTTGTGCCAGCATTCCAGGCTACCATACCTTTAACAACCATTTGTCAATATGCACCACTCTGAAGACTAGAGCACTATCATGGGATCTGCTTAAGACGCTGGATATCAACCATGATAATACAAGAATCTACTAGACCGACGGCGACTACACTATTCACCAAGGATTATATTAACAGGTTGAGGGAAAGAAAATACAGAAAATCAGAACATTCTACAAAATGGTGCATGAATGCGAGTGGAATGCTGTTGCTCTGGTAATGGAACGACGCCCCGTTCCTTCAGGGTTCACGAGTTGGTGTCCGGCCAATGTGCAGCCTAGCAAGAGCCGTGTTTCATCACATCCCCCACCTCCCACAATACCATGGTATGCGGAAGGCCAGTGTTACATGAAATGCTAGATCATCTATCGTGCAAACAACCGCCATGGATCGCAGAGTGAAGGACTGGGTAAAATCATGAACAATGAATTTTTACTGTAAATGTGATTGGCATGAATGGCCTACTTAGTGGCGGCATCAAGTTCATTGCATTAAACATCAGTATGGTGGGTTCTCTGCAACATTAGACCAACTTTAGTTTGAACATCTGAAAATATAAATGTTGGATTTCAGAACAACAGAATGCAAGGGGTCAAAATGTTCACAAGCTATGAGATCACTGTTGAGGTTGACCTTTGCAATGTTCATCAAGTAGTTGGACAGGAGCGAATAAAATTGCGTAAAGCTCTGCCGCAAACGCAGACCTTGACCCTTTTACGACCCAGGTGCCAATTTTAATTTATGCATATTATACATTCATCATACCTTGTTTAACTATATACAACAATTTACCATATTTCTGTTTTCAATTCATAAGGCAAGGTAATTATCAAAAGAAGGCGCCAAACCGGGAAGGCTATGTAGTACCATCAAAGTGCGAAATAATCAGAGGGCGCTAAATATCACCAAGAATGCCAATACGAGAACAAAAACGGATAGGGCGAACGATATCAAAAGTATCAGATTCTCCTAGAATTATATCGAGGGACAAGTGACCGCGAGGGACGGTCGGAAAGCAAGACACGCTGGTCCTGGAAGTCAGGACATTTAACAAGGATATGCACAGCTGTAAGAGGGACAACGCAATTCGGACAATAAGGAGCAGGGCGGCGCTCCATTAAGTGACCGTGGGTTAAGCGAGTATGGACAACCCGCAGCCGTGCCAAAGCAGTTTTCTACCGCCGGTTACGGTAGTAGGAAGAAGGCCACGGGGGGACACTACGTTTGAGAG